TGCACAGTTGTATTTTACAGGGAAGACTACAATTAGCTTGCATACGTATCTAAGTGGAACATTWCTGCAATCTTTTATCAAATGCCCTACAGATTATGAATACAGTAAGTACTACACGCCACAAATTACAGGTGGGACCTTTAATTCCACTCCTCAACTAAACACATGTGATATCCCACCCTCACTTTGTCAATGCAATTTTCAGCATAATATTTATTAATGGGGTAAAAGAAGATTGTAAGMCTTGAGAATTAAAGTACACTACAGTATAGTTATGAGAGCAGGGGAGAAAAGTTATATTCAGTGTCTCAAATTKGTTGCTTTGCTCCAAATGAGCAAATTTGAGCTAGTAATGAGCTCCAGCATTTAAATCAAATTCTTATTTCATCAGAAGACACATGTAGAGCATACATATGAATTTTMGAGGGCCCAGCATGCTAATACTGTCCCTTCAGTCCTGCCATCATGGGCCAGCTTCAAATTTTTGTTTCAGCTCTTTATCATGAGCCATAAGACAACTACCAAGTGTTGGTCTGAATCAGGCAAAGAAATTATGTGCACAAGACCCATCCATGAGACTACACACTCTCTTTTCATAACAGAAACATTCAGCACTTTTTTCAAACTAAGAAAGCCTTCAAAATAACCCACTCCACCAGAAGTTTTTTCTTCTGCCACAAAACACATGTAAAAAAAAATTCAAGTGGTACCAGATCCTTCTGTTATCCCTCTGTTATCTCTAGTCAAGAGTAACACTAATGTCAAGTCAAGTTGCTACATGTAAGCTTAAACAATATTTTTATTTAAAATCTATAAATCTCAATTTTCATTCCCCTTTTAAAGACACAACATACTAGATATCTTCATTACTACTCTGATTCATGTAGTTCCAACAAATCAAAATAAGCTAATTTCAAGTTATTCTGCTGTGCTAAATTTGCATGTTAATAAAACAGAAAATAATATTCAAAACCTTAAAAAAGCTTTATGAGTTTTTGAAACTGGAAGCATTCCTACTGATCACAAATTGCTGCAAAAGCATGACAAATACTTCAACTGAAGATTCTTTCTTTCTTTTCTTACTGTGTAAACAAAGAGCCTCAACAACAGCACAAGTTTACATCTTTACAGTTAAGCTTTCAACATGCTGAAGGGAAAGTGTTCATGTCACCCCTTGTGACATTTCAGGGTAGAACGATTTTTAGAAAGGTTAGGTTTGGGTATGATACTTCTCTCCAGTTTTTTGGTTTTCTAAACTTTATTTCCAAAGATTCACACCTTCAATAGAAAGGAAAGGAAGTTGAACTTTTAAAGGTCTCTCCCACCAGTTAAGCAAAAAATTCTGAAACAGTTCAACTGAAGTCTCTTATTTCTCAATCATGCTACTGCAGAGCAAACATGTTAGTTTTGCTGACCCCACCATCCAATACAGAACTGTCCTCATATATATTCTACCACTGGACAATACAGAAGAACAAAGATATCCATACAATTTATAATTTACCTTCTTGTCTCATGTTTTATAGGAACTAAGGTTTATAGCAGAGCATTGAGGAAGGAGCAAGGTCCTGTGTCAGACCTGAACACGACATGTTTAGGTATGAGAAGTGTACAAAGTCAAAATGCCATGGCCAGGTTTTTAACCAATTAAAGCAAACATATTCCTTAGCATCATCACAGCCTTAACAGTTCGCTTTACAGAGACTTAGCAAAACAAAAGAAAACCCAACAAAAAAACAAACAAAACAAAAAGTCCACCTTCATTTTTATTTAGGGCTCAAGTTCCTTATATGAGAATGAAGTACACTTTGTTTTGCATAAGGATCTAGAATGCTCTATTGCTCTTTATCATATAGTCCCCTTTTCTATATATAGTTATGGTTCACAAGCAACAGGCTTTAACATCACCTCTATGGATCAAACATAAATGTCACAACAATCAAAATATCTTTTCAGGAGTGTTTMAGATACAGATGAAGCTGCTAAGTGCTCCAAGTAACACATGACTTTTTAAATGAAAGATTAGTTTTCAYTTTCATATTGTACCAAAATTTTGATTAAAACAACAAAAGGAAACTATTTCATCACATGAATTAACTTCACATTTTAAGGTAAACTACAACCAGGTTTCTCCTACTTAGAGTCTACACACTTTGGTGTGTAATGATTCCACTAATACTGATCATTTAACAGAAAACCTGACAGATGCACATCTCTTCCCTTTTTGCAAGGTTCAAATTCAAAAGGTGACGTGTAAGGTCAATTGCATCACCGCCCTTGTCAGCATACATTATGTAGGAAATCACCAGGAATTTTTTAGCACTTTTGAGTCTTCACAAGAATATGAAGAAGTAGCAGTGAAAAAGGTAGAAGTTTTGCCATATGCTGAGTACATAAAGCAGAGAAACAATTCCCTATTTCAGTTGTTTCCCCGTGTCTACCYAAGATATGAAAGGAGTAGACTCTGGAAGAGTTGACACCACCACATAGCGCATTATCATCAGTTACCATGTTAGTCAAACACATAGAGTAAAAAAAACAAAACAAAAAGCATGCCAAGTTTCATTCAGATTTGTTTATAATGAGGTCTRCAAATAGTTGTCCTTGCAGGACAGAATTTACTCTTACTACAGAAAATAAAAAAGAAATAAAACAACTTCCTCAGACATCRATGAACTGTTACTGTGACACTGTTTTATCCACATGTTAAACAGAATAACCTCATTAGAATGGAGGACCAAAAAAAAAAAGGAGCACAGAGCATATTAACTTGCACAATGCTAAATATCTGCACAACTTGTCTCTATCATTTTACTGATGTAATTACATTTCAGCTTTGATGCAAGATTAAAGGTTATTTATTCTCAAAAGTTTCCACCAGCAGTTTTTTTTTTTCACATGGTAGAGCAGCTTACACCATTCTGAAGAATTAGCCAGTACGAATGTACCCATTTTATTAATCTACCAGAATGAATACATCAGTAAAAGACAAAACCTGCTGATACTTACTCCACTATAAAAGCTATGTTTACATCAAGGCTTAAAGTATAAGCCCTTGGGGACAACAACACTACTTTCATAGCTCTCTGTAAAGCACCTAACAAACCACAAACATTTGAAAWACAAAAACCTAGGGGACCAACACACTTCGAATTCTCTCAATATGTATGAATTTTGTTTAGGGTAGAAGGGCAAACCTGTAATATATTCCTGAATCCTTGTGAAACACATATGGACACAAATTWAAAAATACACTTTTATAGAATCCCGGAGGATAAGAGGTCAACATGTATATCTCAAACACCAACAGTTGGTGGTATATGGAGCCAACCAACAACTGTTGGTAAATGGAATGTGGCTGGAGCAGGGGCCATGCAGAGGTAAGGCAGAAGGGACAAATATTCTTATTCTAGTCCATGGAGACACAGCAAACAAAAGACAGCACCAGCACAAAAGTGGGAATGAACTGTTGACCAAAATTCAATGCAGTAGGAAGGGAAAGAGGAGGGAATGCCAAGGACCCCCAAATCCCTCCAACCCATTTCCAGAAAGGCCTCAAAGAATGGATCATGCATGGTAACTGATCTGCACACAAAGTGTAGAAAAACCTTACCATCAGGGCAAGGAAACCTATAAAAGGTACCCCATCAAGCCCTGGCTGCACACCCCAGGACGTGCCATCAGCCAGACCAAGACTGGAATCAGGACTGGTGATATCTTTTTCTCTCTTTCTTTTCCTCTCTCCTCCTCAATTCATTCTCTCTTTCCTGCCATTGTATTCCTACTATGTAAGCTGTGTGCTGACATAGGACAGGGACTGACATACTGACACACCAATTTCAACACCAAATGTGCAATTTACTAACAAAAACTGGTGACTTTTGTAGACCCTCTGACCCTCTGTTGCCCCCTTCAACCACAACCATTTACAAGTTTTGGGCGCTCCCTTCCCCTGAAGTGTGGGACAACTTCCCAAGTGTAAGTACTGTGAAAGGAATTTAAAAATTACCACAAACAGAGATGTGTAAAGACAGAATTAATTTACTGAAGCTAAAAAGCAAAGTGCTCAAAACTTCTACAGTCTAGATAAAGATGCCACCCAAAATAGAAAGAGGGAGATAGAGCTCCATGTGAGAGCATCGTGAAAAGAAATAAAAGTATCTCACAGCATTCCAAGTTAASAGCTTGGACTAAAAAGCGACACGTGACTTTTTCTATGAGTTAATAAGTGATTGTTTCTGTTAGTCTCAGGAGTATACAATAGACAACAATCAAACTAAATGGCCACCTGTGAATTCACCACATGTGAACTCTCCATTYACCAAATGCTTTCAAACAAAGCATACTGAAGATACACGTAAAAGAATGTAGCAGACAATTTTTTTTGTACTGGTTTGGGTCCTTTCACATGTGGCTCAGCTCACAATTCCAACAAGCCACAACCAGACGTTAAAGAAACAGCCCGCTACTCATATTTCACAATTTCCATATTTTCAAAACAACAACACTGAAAGAGAAGTTAAAATTAAAAAAAACTGCAAGACCACCCAAAGCAGAAAACCAAAACTAGTTAAACATTTATACACTGACAACACACAGATAAGAACTGTAGTGAGACCAAGAATCTACAGAATTTATGTAGATGCACATCCTTCATTTGTGGTCAAAATAACAAGCTACAGAAGGAAAAAACCACTGCTATAAGTTTTAAATACAGTTTCCCATGCTTAACTAYACTTCTTCTGCAAGCAATCTTCTCAAACGTCTTTGCACTGCTCTTAGAAAAAACCGGTTTTTTTGTTTCATTAGTTCACTACTACTAACACTTCAGTATTGCAGAAGGTCTCAAAAATATTTTAAAAGCTGACAACGAAGGTAAATATGTAACCTCTGACAGAYGCTCAGTTCAAAGCCTACCCAGCAATACTTTAATTATTTAAAGCCCTATGAATCACCRAGGTGGGGTGAGGATAGAAAACTTCAGTAAAATTACCACTGACTTTTGAATTAAGTTGCTCTGTCCATCTTGATTTTCTTTGAGGCAGCAGCAGTTCAGTTGAATTCAAACCTACAAAAATTATTATAAACACATTAACTCCTGAATTAAGAAATATTTAATCACTGTGGGAGSACTTGCAATATATCTAAAAATAACATGTAAGATTAGACACTTCACCACTATATTTCATTTTGAATCATTCCAGGGAGAAGTTGTTTTTTTGTAGACCAGTCAGACTAATTCATTCCCATCACAAAATAGGAAAATACACTGAAGTATCAACATAGTAAAAAGCCAGCCTACATTGGCTGGCAGTAAAATAATTTTTGACAAAAAAAAACCCCGTGGCTTTTGTAACTGACAAAGAACAGTGAAAAGGAAGAAAAAAAGAATTAAAAAAAACCCCTCTGTGCTATTACTACCCTGATGCTGCAACACATATAACACAAATGTAAGGACTGAGACAGTCAAGTCTCAATCCATCCTGAAGATTTGGTCAAAAGTGTGTAACATTCACTGCTGAGATTACAATATTAATATGAAGTCTAAATTCCTTATGGATTTAGTCTAGATGTACGCACTTTTTAATCTCCCACAAAATCATAYTCTTACCTACATGTTACTCTTGTGCCTATATTCTTCAAATCCTTAAAGAATTATTCCATTGATCATAAAAGTCGGCAAGTGAAAATTACCAAGCTTCAGCACTCAACATTCTCAAAAAAAAAAAAAAAAAAAAAAAAAAAAAAAAAAAAAAAAAAAAAAAAAAAAGCAGACAAGAACCTCCAACCAGTAAAACAGTAAAAATTAGTGGTTTAACTGTTCTACTGATAAAATTCTTTTTCAAGTGAAAATTGATTTATGAACACTACAACACTTACCTAATCCAAGAGGACCACACAAGGTGTAAGTTCTGCCTGATTTATACTCTTCCRGTTTGTTTTCCTTGAGATAATATCCCGAGTTCCCGTTGATACTACATTCGTAGCAGTTTGACATAGATTTGACCTCACAGAAATCAGCTACCCATYTTTCTTGCTCACAGATCCCACAAGGCTATTCACAAAGTCTGCCAACTGTCTCTCTTAAAAACCTTGTCTTTTCTCYGGCAGCTCCTTTTGTCTATTCCATGTAGATATCACTATAACTAGCATCAGCTCCAGGTGAAATAAACATGGGTTTTACACCACCAACTGTGAAGCTAAAAACGCAAATTTCACATATGAACTGTAGAACATTTCCTACCTTCCGGTAGCAGAGGCATTTGTAAACAAAAGCTATCTGGATACCTCCATACTGCTTATCGGCAACATTTTTCAACAAAAATATTAAATAAAATATAAAAGAAAAAAGGATAAACAAACATCTGTTAAATTCTTCATTTAGGAAATAGGTCTAACTGCAAAATGAGAGAACACTATGTCAGAATATCTATATAGCAAAATAAGGGGGAAAAAAATATCTGCCATGAAACTTTTCAGCAATGTCTACACAGTGACTCAGGCCACATTTAACCTGGAGCCTGTGAACAAAACTGGTCACGCTTCAGACTCAGACAGAATGCTGCCGAGAAGAAAAATAGTATCTAAAAACAAGAAAGCACTTTTTTTGGCGGCTGAAGTATTCAGAACTTCATAAATTCAGCTATGTATCCATGCCATGTGGACAAAAGAATCCAAGGGTGATGTGGTCGACATTGGTAGAAGAAAAAAACACGACTTCTTCAATTCTCTTCCCAGATGCCTACTGATTATTTCAGAGGCCTTTTCAGGACGAAACACGCACAAATAATCCCAGAATAGTGTCCGATATTTCTACCCTTTCATAGGAAACAACTGCTGCAGGTCAGCGTCCACCTTTTTCCTTCTCTGCCCGCTGAAGCAAAAGGCTGCAAGCATCCAGCACTGATTCTATCTTTCAAGCCGCCTACGGTAAAAAGAACCAGAAAAATCAGTTTTCCCTTATGAAATCTGGGCTCGCGTTAGACAAACACAAAACAAACAAAACCCAAAAAGCTGAATATAAAAAATACAAACAAAACAGAAACCTGAATCCTAAAGAGCAAACACGGATGCAGTCAGGGARCCGAGCCCGAGGACGGAAGCCTCGGTTACACCTCCACTCACATCCCAGAGAGGGCGGCAGGAATGTTTGACGGAGGATGCAGCCTATCAGCGAAAACCTTATCCCTTCTCCTACCTCTCAATCCCGAGAGAAAAACAGAGAGGGGGCAGCGACGGAGTGGGGGCTGGGGGGAAAGAGGAGGGGGGAAAAGAACAGGAAAAGAAAGAGTCATTTCTCATTTTATTAGTAAAGGTGAACGGATTTGAAGAAGGCACCCGGGGGGAAGGGCTGACCTGGGCCAGGGACCCTTCTCGGGGAGGCGGCGGGAGCGGCCGGGGGAGCCCCAGCGCGGCCCGGGAAACGCTTCCGCCGCCGGGGAGCGCGGACAGACAGACAGGGACCGTGCTCCGGGTGCGTGGGCACACAGAACCCCGACTCTTGGCGTGCGGGACCTCTCGAWGCGGCTCTGGCCGGGCTCGTCCCCTGCCGTTCCGGGGACAGTCCGGGGAGGCTCCCCCTGCTGTCCCCGAGAGCACGGGCACCAGGGCGGGGGAGGAAAGGGGCGGCCCGACCGCTGTGTGTGTGCTCCGCACCCGTTCCCGGGGTTATCCCGGGGTTATCCCGGGGGTATCCCGGGTTTGTCCCGAGTGGCCCCTCCCGGGATGCCCCAGCGGCCGCCGCCCCCCGCGCGCACACCGCGCGCTCCCTTCACTCTCAAAATGGCGCCGCTCCGCGCCGCAGAGCGCCCCGAGCGCGCGCGCACGCGCAAACTCCGCGATGGATGGCGCGCGACGCGGGCGGGAGCTCCCCGGSACCGCCCCCCGTGACGTCACGGAACTATCCCGAACGTTCCGCGCGGGGCTGGGAATCCCCAGCGCGCGCCCCGCCCCCCTGCCGGGAGTCCCCGGCGCCGCCGTAATTAACCGTGTAGCGGCGCACCCCGCCGGCGCCGGCCGAACGAGCGCCCCGGCGGTGCCGGCACGGAGCACCCACACCGGGACGGGGGCTCGGGCCGAGAGGGCACCGCGGGGCCCGGCTGGAAGGTCCGTACACCGCGGAGGTGGGCGGGAGCGCCCGCCCAACGCGGCCCGCGATCAGCCCGGTGTGTGCCGGTGAGGTCCCGGCCGCCCGCATCCGCAGCGCGATTCAATCGCAGCGCCGGCGGGGCCCGAGTCCAGAATAAACCAATAACCACCAATTTATCAAAATTTCAGCATCTTCGCTAAATCGGCAGGAACAGTTCCGTTGTACAGGCGCATGAGTGGAAATACCCTGGAGGTTTGCGCAGTTATTCCGCGCGTGCATTTTTGAGGAAAACCTGATAGGTGGATTCTTACTGACTGGATCTAAGATTAGTAGTTTGAGTTTTGAAATCCTGTTACCAACGCATAACTAAAATAGTTTTTTTCAATTTCGTAGGGGAAAAAAACAAATTTACAAAATTATATTTAAATATCATTAGAGAGCTGGCAAGTGTTTGTAGTGCCAGCATTTGATTCTGGATTTTCTTTGGCAATTTTCTCCACAAGGTATTGTAGGAACTGAGATTATGCACTGAATTTTGACAAAAATTGTCTCAAAGTGTAGTATTCTTTTTTAAAATTTATTTTACAAGCTTGTATATGTGGCCAAAGTAAACTATTTTTCATAACTTGACAGAAATCACTRGAGAGCAACAATTACCWGAAAATTTACTWAAAATCAACAACTGAGAAAATAAAGTAGAAAAAAGTACTTTTTTTTGGCACCATGATGGTCCCCTGGCTGTCCTGCACTGCCATATGATTGTACTAGCACACTCAAGATGAACTAATCTATAACCTTCCAGGAACCAAGGTCAGCTGACAGGCCTGTAGTCCCCCAGATCCTCCTTCCAAGCTGTCTTGTAGATGRGCRTCACATTGGGCAACCTCCATGCAAGTCAACTGGGACTTCCTTAGTTAGCCAGGGCTATTGGTAAATGATGGAGAGTAGCTCAGCAAGCTCTTCCACCAGCTCCCTCAGTACACTAATGCTCAAAAAAAGGCCTAGAAATAAAACCCTATAGGCTGGTGTCTATAGAGCAGGTATTTGTTTATTACAGTGCTGGTGTAGCAYTGGAGGTGAGGAGGATCTCTCCTCCTAACCTACCTGATTTTGTTTAAAATTGGCAGGTATTTATACAGGAAGCATGGTGTGACATTACTATTATCACTAGGCTCACTACCATATATGGGCACAGAAATACATGATATCACATTTCTGAAAGTTCGCCTACATCATCYTCAATTYGRTGGTCATGGGKGTCTTCTACTAATGAGAGACCATCCTCTTCATYATGGTGGACTTTTCACCTTTGTCTTCAGGGCATGCGCAGTTGTGATGTTTATGGKTTTTTTTGAGTCTTTCAGGTCTTCATTTTTTAGTTTTCAGCTGACTTGTACTTCTGCCAAGTTCTCATTAGTGCTCTCTACTGTTCCTTGTTATAGCATCTACTTGTCTACTTCTTCAGAACTTTTTCTGATTTATGCTCTTTGGCAATTTTACATGTTTACATACTAATCCAGCTGGCTGGATTATATCTAGCTGATACACTGTATGTTGCTAATACTCTATATAAAAACTTATAACAATATATGAAAAGGCTACTATTGATAATATATTGAAACCTATTACATTGTATATTAATAAKATTTRAAAGCTCTTACATTTTATATTGATAAAAAAGTTATAGAAAGTTTTCAATCAATAGGGTTCATAAGCATTTTGTCACTTTGACATAAACCATAGGTATCAACCCCTCACCCAGAGTGAATTCTATCTGGCCCTCTACGCTTTTGAGTGTCTAAGCAGCTCAGCAAGTCACTTACTAAYTTTCCCTGAATCACAGAATTCTGCTCCTTATCCCTGTCTACCAGCTCAGAGGGCTGATTGCCTTAATAATAAATGTCTTCCTGTTAGAGGCTGTGGCAAAGAAGGCATTAAATACCTCAGTCTTTTTCTCATCCTTGGTTACAATGTTCCCCTCTGCATCCAGTAAGGGATGGAGATTTTCCTTGGTCCTCCTTTTGTTGTTAATTTTTTAATAGAAATTATTTTACCTATCTTTCACAGGAGTGKCCAGCTTAAGTTCTAGCTGAGCTTTTGCCTTTCTAATTTTCAGTCTACACAGCCTAATAACATTATTGTACACTTCCTGAGTTGCCATCTTCCAAAGGTCAWAAAATCTCTTCTTTGCTMTGAGTTCCAGGAACAGCTCCCTATTTAGCCAGACCAGTCTTCTTCTCTCACCCAGCACATCTTCTGGCAAATAGRGATGGGCTGTTGTGCCTTTAAGATTTCCTTCTTAAAGTATGTCCAGCCTTCCTGGATCCGTTTTTTTATTAAATACTGCTTCCCAAGTGACTCTCTGAACCACTGTCCTGGGCAGGCCAAGGTTTGCCCTCTGCTTGGCCAAGGCAGAAATTTTGTTAATGCCCTCTTTTCCTTTGCCAAGAATTGAAAGCTATCATTTTGCAGTCACTATGCCCAAGACAGACTCTGACCACCACATCACCCCAAGTCCTTCTCTGCTCATGAACARCAGGTCCAGTGAGGTCTTCCCTCAGTGGCTCGCACACACCAGCTGTGTGTGGAGGTTGTCTTCCACACACTCCAGGAACCTCCTAGAATGCCTCCTCTCCACTGTGCTGAGTTTTCAGCAGACATCCAGCAAGTCAAAGTAAAGCCCCCACAATAACAAGGGCCAGTGATTATGAGACATTTGCCAGTTACTTGTAGAATGCTTYGTGTGCCTCTTTGTCCTGGTTGGGTAGTCTTTAAACAGACTCCCAGCCAGGATATTTGCCTTGTTGGCCATCCCCTTGATGCTACCCTTATAACATCATTACTCTAGAGGTCTGTACAGTTGAAACACTCCCTACTGCASAGACACCCCACCACCTCTCCTTCCGCACCTAATGGGATAAAATATGAGACCAAAAATTTATTTTGGCAGTGTATTGGTTTTACTTGGCCAAGTTTTTGGAAGTGGGGGGGAGGGCAAAAAAGTTGGCTCCTGTGAGAAGCTTCTGGAGGCTTCCACCATGTCCAGCAGAGCMAATTGCTGTTGGCTCTGAGGATGATGGACATGCCACTGACCAAACCTGGGCCAATTGGAGATGGTGGTTATGCCTCTRTGAAMACATATTTAAGAAGAAATCAAAACCAAGGGGTAGCTACAGTAGTTTTGCAGGAGGAGAAGGAGGAGAATATGTGACAATGCAAACACCAAGGTCAGTGGAGAAGGAGGGGGAGGAGCTGCTCCA